AACCTACATCATTTGTCATGGTGTACTGTCAGACACCGTGGGGTAAAATGCCTGGGGGGGGAACCAGTTTCTGATGGAGCGTCGAAAGTTATTTAAATCTTAGTGCTCCTGCTACACGGGTTCCCTGGAATTCCAACAACCATTGCTTTTGTTTTAATGGTCTTTACCAAAGAACCGTTGTTTTACGAAGGACTTCAACAATAGAACACGAGGTGAACCGAACTCTTTCAATGGTCGAACCGAGTGGCTTGGGTAAGTACCACCGCTGGAGACACTTCAAGCACCAATGGCTTCCAAGGGACCATGCCATGGGTTGGGAGCCATGTGATGTGTCTGTCAGAGTGAGGCCATGGGTTGGTTTCAATATGGAGACCGAACCCCAGGCAATGACGAAGAAGGTCAGGTTAAAGAGTCCAGTCTACCCAGGGGTAGACTGGCGGTCTCTCCCTATCCAGGGCCAGAGGGTCTCCATATCAAAATACACACCCAAAGTGAATGGTACTTAGACAGGGAAAGACACGGTCGGACCAAGTTGCTTCGGACCGAGTTGGCCGCTTCTCTCTTCCGAGTTGGTTCAGTGGACGGTTGGTCGATCGCAGGTCTGGACGCGTGGATTTCAGGTGGGAGGAGGGTGAGGAGGAGGGGTGAGGAGGGGTGAGGATGTCAGGGCAACCTGTATTGGCTGTCCTTAGGACATGTTTGTCTCAACATCTTCCGATCTTATTTGCACCGGCACGCCAGTTCCTTGAGTATATAGCTTTTGTGCATGGGCTGATGAACTTTCTTTGGGCTGTCTTGGTGTGTGCATTGATCTAGTCAATGGAAAACAGTTTTTGTTCCTTGTGTCAGGCCAAAGGGCTTAGTATGCAGCAATCCAAATAATGCAGTCATCTAGAATGCCCGTGGAATTGCCAGCAATCCAACTAACGGGTTTGCCGATTTTGTTGAGATGTAGATGTAGCCTTCTAGAGTGTATGTATATATGTTGGTGCCGTTAGTTTATCCACTTCCACGGCTGCCTATTTTTAACAAACACACGATCCTTCTGATGCGGGGTCCCCCTTTCAGTCTTTGATTTTGGCTAGAGCGGTGTTGGATTTTTTAGAATCAGCCAGGTACCATGTCAATTGGGTGTGCTTAGACGAGGATGTTGTTTAAAGCCCTCCTTGTTAATCCTTTCATGATTTAAATTTGCGTCATGAAGCAACCTTTTCGGATGCCTTCCTGTCAACCATCTACCTGATATCAGCAAAGACAAAGTAGTAGATACATCCCTGTCACGACTCTTGGCTTAAATCTCAAGTACTGGTTGATGTAGGGCCATATCATCTGATTCAAGTGATTTAAGCTACGAGTTCTGAGGGGGCAGGTGGTCTACGCTGGTGCCTTGTCCAAAAACACCCCCGCAGGCCCGGCCCAAAGCGGTCGGGTTTTCTTGGTGTTTTGGATGCGTCGGCGCCTCCCCACCTGGTCGAAGATGACACCATCACGCTGTCTGACGAGGTTGTTGGTGATCTCCAAGGCGCTCGGTTTCCGTGAGTCGGCTGGTGAGCTCGTGCTGAGCTCGTGGTCACTCGGGACATGCGTGGCCCAAAAGGTCCCTAAGAGCCGATTCGGCCTGAAGAAGGGTCAATGAGCTGCTGGGGTTCTTGGGAGCATAGATGGGTGTGTCTTTTGGCGTGACCTGTGATGGGTTTTGGTCCATTTTCCTTCTTCAGGGGGTCATTGGTTGGGAGGTCTCCCTATTTGGATACACACCCATCTATAGCTGAAATGATCGGATTGGCGGAGAGTCGGAGAGTCGTTTTCACGCTTTGGAGTCCTGCCTAGGTTCGGGGCCGAACTGGGCCACTCTGGGATTTGAGCGGGAGTCATTTTGCCCCACCTGGATTGAAGATATGGGCGCCCCACCTGGGTCTTGAGGAAACCAGGCCTGGCTGGGTAACACGACGTGCTTGCGCAACAAGATCCACGACAGTGGTACCGGACAAACCAGGATACCTGAGTTGACCACTGAACATGAACAGAAAATGACGACCTACAGGAGGCCAAGCTACCAGGGTTTGGGGTGGGGTCCCAGGTTTATGACCAGATCCATTCATAAAAGATTCATCATTTCATGATGCCCTAAGCAGCATGACCCCTCGAATGTAGAGGACAGAACCTAGATTGGAGGGGGCCTTGGGATCTCAAATCCCTCCCTCGCTTCCTTTGGCCCTTAGTCACTTAGTCGCTTAGTCTCATGATCACAGATTCAGATGCCAAGGCATGACGTCCAAAAAGCAATGTTTTCCATCCCGTAAGGCCTTGGTGAAAGATGGCACAGAGGCGAGGCGCAGCTGCTGCCAGTCAGTCAGTCCGTTGCCGTTTCCACGGGCGACCGAAGAACACGTCTTCTCCCCCGCCCAGAATCCTTGACCCCTGCCATTGCAGGGGTCGGACCTGACCCAAATCCGGACTCGAAGCAAAGCCGTATTTGAGGGCCCCGATTCTTACGGCCCCATTTTTCAGTTTGAACATAGGGTTTGTCGAGGCCAGACCACCGGTGACCCCGATGAACAGGTCGACCAAGTCATCCAAAGAACAGGTCCCCCACCTACTGTAGTTCAACACAAAACCCTAAGGGCCGTCTAAGAATCCTGGCGACCTCAAAAGCTATTAAACATTTCCCTAGAAGTCCATGTTTGACTATATTTTGACCGAAGTAAAGGACATTCCTAGACTCAGGTCACCTAAAGACCATCCTTTTTATGGTCTTGCACCTTCAGGAGACGGTCCATGTCGCCATGCTCCGCCCTCAGTCGTACAGCAATCGTCAAGCCCATGTGGAACTTGCAGCGCGGTGCCCAGTTCGAAGGGTCGTGGATCGTGGCCAGTTCGAACGGAGCCGTGATGAGACCAAAAGTCGTTTGCCAAGCATGCAGCATGCTCCTTTTCCGGATGAAACGGTCTCATAAACTGCTTTCACGAGCAGCTTCTTTCGCTGTTCTTCTTCTTGCACGCTCTTTTTTCAACACGATTTCATTTCTGCGCTGGTTGCGTAGCAACATCATGAAATTCTTCGTGTCCACCGCTGTGGTCTGCTTGGCAAAGTCGAAACAACCGCCGCAGAGGGAGACAAGGTCGCAACGAAGCGAAGCGATTCATGTACAGCCTGATCAATGGGTTTCCTGGCCCCCGTCTTCAACTGATGATCTTGTCATGTGTGTTTGGGGTGGAACCTGACTTGCCTTCTTCCGGTGTTGTACGGGTCGAGCCATTGACCTGGGCGGAACCCCCATCGCTTGCCAAGGACAAGATCCGCCAAAGGGATCCCTCCAAGGCCCCCAAGGTCGACAGCGACCGCGCGGCGCAGGGTCGGTACGATGGAGCTTGGCCTTTCGCGCCGAGTGTGGTCGAGCGTGTTTGGGTGTTCAGAGAGATGGAAAGGCAGATTGCACCTAGGCGTGTTTCGGTGTGTTTGTGGCACAGATCAAAAGGACTTCATATATGGTTAAGACATATGGAATAAGAAACAAAACAACACCTTGGGATGCCACCTACCAAAAGAATTGGTTCAGGCTTGATTGAATCCCTACAGCTCCAACTCTAGAGCTATCCTTCGTTTCGGTGATTGGGGTGGGTGCCAGGAGGATCGGTCCCTACCTCTGTTTCGGGTGTGGGAGCCCCTTCAGGACATTTTGTCCCCCGGAGCCAGCCGGAGCGAGGGGTAGTTCATGGACACCTCGAATCAACTTGTATTTAGGTGCTATAGTCCTTAGACACCCCGAGTTTCGGGGCCCTTGGTAGATTTGTTCAATCTAGACCTCTTTTTGAGGGTCCAGAGGTGGCAACACCCAGATGGGCCTGTATGAAGCGATTCCAATAGCCAATGGTTGTTGATCTATTTGCCTTCTTTGGTTGTTAACTGGGGGTCCCAAGATTCCGAAGACACGGCGGCAGATTTTCGATTTCTGCCCCCGGCGGTTTTGGCCCACGGTTTTTTTTCGGCGGCCGGGGAACGAAGGGAGGAGGAGGATAGGGGTGGTCAAAACATTCTTCCCAAGTGCATCCCAGCCCTTCATTCCTTTGGAACTGCTCGTCCTGCATCTCCAGAGTGCACACCTTCTCCATCCTAGCAGGTGGGTGAGCGTGTGCCCTACGTCTATGTGGCCAGAGTCTCTCGGCCTATCGAGTGGTTTCGCAGGTTTCGGAGCAGCTCTATGCAGCTGAGTGGGAGTTGGAGCATCTACAATTCATGGCAGATGTACCTTTGCAATTCTTGAACTCGACCAGCTGAGTTCAAACACTCTTTGCATCCAAAGCTGCAGATGTCTACTGAACTGGAACCGGAACTGAGCTTGGTTCAGGACGCTGAGCTGGCTGTAGACTGTCTCAGGAAAAAGGTGCCAACGCCTGTGATCGTGCTGAAGATCCGCTCTTTGCCATGGAGGCGGGTTAGATCGGTCGAGTCGACGCGCTCAACGGCCGCTTTCGAGCGCGCGTTGGTTGACGCACGAAGACGTTGACGCAGCTGCTGCGGTGGCGGATGTTCGAGTTTTTTTGGGGGAAGACACATGGGAGAATGCTTTTCCTCTTAGTAGCTCTTGGTTGATGGCAAGTTCCAGCTCTTGTAGCAGCTTTTTCCAGGGGGGAAGTGGCGAACACGATGAGATGGGTGGATCATTCGGGAGAAGAGATGGTAGGATTTCGGCAGAAGGACTAAGGAGTCGTGAAGGACTCGGTGGCCTGCCAGTCTTAATCCAATCATTTGTGCAGGGACTCGGAACGCCCAAAGGGACTCATGACTCGCCACACATAAAGGGTCATGGGACCCGTGGAGCGGCTTTTGGAAGGATTTCCAGTGAGTCCACGGCCATTTTTCAGTATTTTTTCAGTATATAGTCCTTTTGGAGGAAAATAGCTTCAGTCGGAAAGCAGCTTCAATTCTTCTTCCTGCACGTCCTGTTGCTCGTCGTTCACGTCGCAGCTGACTCGACCGCAGCTTCTTTCCTCTCCGCAGCCCTGGTGGCTCGTTAGAACCCCCCAGCCGCCGAGACCGAAACCAAACATCCATGTGGCGGTTAGCAGCTCTGCCGCTGGCACTGGCGGTGCCGCTCGGTACAGACCTGGTTAGGGAAACCCCGGGAGTGGCCTTTGGAGTCTGCTTGAAAAAGCACGTGGGAAGGCAGCGGCCTGTTTCCTTCCAATAGTTCAACATCTTTATACTGCATGTAGTCCATTTTGCGAATAGTTTTTGATGTTCTTGCAGTCTGCGATCTCTAGCAGGACTGCTTGCGAAATAGTGTCGAACCTTAGCATCATCTAGCTCAGTTATAGTCTGGGTTTTCGTCCTCGATCCCTTCCCCTTCCTTGCTCGATCCGCTGGTCAGTTCCGTCCGCGCCCCGCGCGGGCACGGTGGGCGTGGGGACTGGGGACGGAAGTGGCGGTGGGTGTCGTTTTTCGTTGTATAGACCATGTGCATTAGAAGAACTCATTTCTTTAAACCTGGACCCCGGAGTCGGGGTGGTTCATGAACACCCCAAATCACCTCCGAAATCGGGGCGACGGCTACCCCTCGACCCCGAACAAACGCGACCCGTTGGGTCGCCGACCTGACGAGGGAAGGGGAGGAGTCTGACCTGAGGAGGGCAGTGTTTTCACGGGCTCCGTGTGCTTTTCTGTTTTCCAGAGACGACGTCCACGGGACACTGATATGTTTTCCACCCCAGGCCAGGGGTGGTGCCGTGCCGGGGTCAACTGATCGGCAGTCACATCGGTCGTGTTTGGCTTGGTTTTCTCACCAGCGGGGTCCGGACCTGGCACCCTTCCCCGGGTCCGCCTGCCTCGTGGCACCGGCCCAGGCCGCGCTTTGATATCAACTTGGATGCTCCTCCAAGAGAGCGGTTCGTTGAGGTGGCCACATACTACAAAGAGGACGATTTCAACAACAACAAACAAGAGCAGGGGAAACCATCCGGCAAGGTAATTAAATGTTTTTGGTGGGTGACTTTTTAAGGCCTTCGTTTTTCCGTGGTGAAAGGTGCCAAAAAGACCTTGATGCAACTTGCCCTGAAGAAGCCAATCAGCATTGCTCAAGTCTTCTAAAGTACCAGTCTCAGGCTGTTTGTGAGGGCTTTTCTCCAAAGTGGTTGGGGTGATTTTTAGTGGAAGAGCTTCTTCTGTGTCTTCCGCCTTGGCTCAAGACGTGCTTCTTCCAAACAGGAGATTCTTGCCATGATGAAGGCATGGGAAGAGGTGCTCGAAAGGGACTTCGCTCCCAGCGAGCAGGTGTGGAGGACACAGACGAGCGCACTGACCCCGCTCGTCCGAAGCATTCACATGCTGGAGGAAGTCTGTGACGTGTTGGCTTTCTTGAAACACATTTTAAACCGTCGTAGATAACAATGAAGAATAGATGACAGTTCTTTTTTTTGGGGGGGGCATATATGTGGGATTCGTGCGGACTATGCCCTCTGGCAGCTTTCCAATTGCGGAGTATCTCTGGAGGATTCGTATCACCATACTGGACTGGACTGACTGTATCTACCCATATTCCACTGGCCATGCACTCGTATTGAAGGCCGTTGCAATTTCTCTTTGGGCATTAGGTATAGGCAAGATTTGGGTGCATGTGTATCTTAATAGGGAGGGAGACAATGGGTTTTGGTCTATTCTCCTTCTTCCAGGGGGTCGAACAGGGAGGTCTCCCAATTTTAACAGACACCCATTTCCTGTGTGAGAGGAAACAACTTCTTGCTTCTTAAGCTGCAACCCTGTGACACCTTGTGACTGTCACCAAAGTTATCCCGATTATCCCCACAGTGTGGCTACACTCCTTGAAATAATCATGGAAGTGGATGAAATGGCCCTTCGGATTACCTTTTTCCTCTACAAATGATGGTTTTGCACTTTCATGACTGTTTCAGGGAGTGTGTACTAATACTAACAGCCTTCGTTCGGGTGCTAAGTAGCTATACGTAGCGGTGCGGTGGCCTTGAAAAAAGGGGGGGGCGCTTCATGGGACCTAGTTCTTGGAGCAGTCCTAGTTTTATGTTTTCTTGCGTTTGAGTAGCTCCATCCCTCCTGTGGTCTTTCTGAAAAAGTTTCTTTTTGTTCGCGCAATACATGTCTCACAGCATGTGGATCGGCGATGATCGCGGCATGGCCTGCCGCCAGGCCGACTGGGTGCGATTCGGAGCGCCGCAGAGCCATCTGGCGGCGATCTTTTGGTGGGACCCTAGGGCTCCTGGCCCACCTTCGTTTCGGTTCGATGGGCCAGGGGTGGGAGCCAGGGGGGTCTAACCACCGAACCTGAGGAGATGGGGCAGGAGCCCTAGGGGGAAGACATGTCGGGACCCGTGGGTGATCTCCACGGGTTTCACGGGGCGCTCAACAGATTTCGCTCGAAGCACCGGGCATCGACCGAGCATAGACCGGGGCACCGGGCATCGGGCGAGAGGTGTTGGTCTCCATGCGTTGCCTCACCTACTTCACTGGGCGAGATGTTTGGGGGGTTTAAAGAGGGCGACTCCGAGCAGTCATGATTGGTTGGTCGAACCGGCCTGGGTTAGGTGTAACATGCTGTAACTTTCGTCCAAGCAAAGCAAGCTAGCAGCGCTCGCATCAAGGTACGAGAGACATTCGGTTTCGGTGGAAAGACATGGATGAAATTGGCCTGTTCCCCTTTGTTTGATGTGAAAAATAGCTTGACATGCTTGAACAGATCAACAAGTGATCCATCAATCCAGGATTATTCATTATTGGCTGTTGTTCCAAAAGCAAGATCCAGAACGATTTGTAGTCGACTTTTCCATCGAAAGTATATATTGTATCACCAGACGTCTTCTTCTCAAGAGACGGGTGGTTTTCACACCCGTGCACTCACCCCTGAGGTGAAGAATTCCAGGAGGAGCTGCTCGGAATGCATGAGGCGCGGGATCTAGTGATCTGCGGTCCTCCCTGCATGTGAGGGGCGGAGACGGAACGGAGGCCTACGCATGACTATGAGAGAAGACCATGGCAAGGAGGACGTGGAAGAACGTGAAAGGAAGCAGGATGACACATGGAGCTTGATTGAAGCCCCAATTTGGCTGCTGCTCAAGAACGAGGTGTCACCTAAACCCCTCAGTCATTAATGAAATATGTAACAAATCACAAACACAAGATCACCTGAGAGTCCTTCGGTCTCCATACATATACATCGTGTATCTCACACTTGCCTCGTCACTCGTCACTCGCCCCAAACCTTCAGGATGTTCAGTGGGCAGAAACCGATGGGGAACAGGTTCCCAGTCCAGACAAGCCCATGGTTCCGGGACAGTCCAGACCAGCGCCAGGCAGTTGGATCGAATGTGAGCTTGAATTCCATGCTCTTGTTTCTTGGATTCAAGAACGACACGTGGGAAGGACCGGTGCCCAGCCCGGCATGGCTGATTGTGCTCGATGCCGGGGGGTGACCTCTACCGAAAGAGAGATGGAGAGTCTTCAGGAGGTGCTGTAGATGTGACAGGAACGTGCTGCCATTTTGCAGTTCATCTGTTTCTGGTCTGATAGCTCAGCTATTGCTCTGGTAGAGTGATCCAAGCCATAGATGGCAGGTTGCTTATGAGGGCGATCGTGCCAAGGTGAACAAGCAATAGGTATGTGGGTACCTAGTACAAAGACGAACCCTATTGTTCTCACGGTCGGACGTCACAAGCTCTCCCCTTCCTCTGAGGTTCAATCTTCTTTATGAGAGCCTTGACAGCTTTTGGTGCGCACGTGTAAGCAGACATTGCGCAGCTTGCGCAAGCTGGATTTCCCACTGTGCTGTCGATGCTCGCAGCGCCTAAGGATGGGATCACCAACTACCGCATGTTCCGGTTTTCTGGCGGCCAACGATGATGGTCAGGCGCGCGTTTGGTGTGTAGTTACAGTAGCTATATATACGTATAGATAGGTGAGAGTGCTCTGCATGCATCAGGCAAGCTTGCAAGCTTCATCAAGCTTCAGCTGAAGCGTGGGATGAGTACGTGATGTTTCACCTAATGCTATTTTTGTTGCCAACGAACTCTTTTGCTTGGTATGACCTTGCGCTTAAGTAGGATGTGGTGGGTCCAACGGTCCAAGTCTTTTGCCCCCCGCACGACACGACCCTGCCATGATACCCATGTACCTGCCCGACCCCCCCCCCTTCGGACTGGAGCTGCGGAGCCTCGGAGCTGCCGTCCTTCGGATGGGCTTGGTGTTTCGGTGAGGTGATCCATGGGCGTAACATGGATTATATGCTTCAGCGACTTGGAAGACCGGAGCGTTTGTGGATTTGAGCGTCGCATTTGTCTTTCTTTAGCACGAAGAGTCTGGTTCTTTTCGACGAGGTTTTGTTGGGGGATGGCGAAGGTTCTGGTTTTCGAGGTCCAGGTCTGGCCCAAAGCTGGTGAACACTGAGTAGGGTTAGTTGATTTAACGTTGATTCTGATCAAGTCCTGTGAAATGAGGTCCAACTGACCTGTAGAGAATCTGGTTTTCTTCACTCCTTTTCGAATCAATCCTAACGGTCTGAACGGTCTGAAGCAGGTGGAAGCCACAGTGCTGTAGGATTTCATCGGTTGTAGACGGCCGCGTTGCTATGGCTCCGCGATCCAATCACAGCCTAGTGACCCATCCAGAACTTTACCTGGAAGCCTCTCGTTTTTACCCAAGTCAAACCAATTGGAACCCCTTTTCAAACCCGGAGAAGACCATGGAGAAAACCAGGGTAACACCTCTCTTTGTTCACCGGTTCGTCTAGGGTGATCCGTTTGTTCGATGTCTTTCCGTTTCGGTCCTGCGGGCCCTCCACTTCGATCGGTCCTTTTCTTGGCATCCGTGGTGTCCCGGAAGCCGGAGGTTGCCGTTTGCCCGGAGGTTCACGATGCCGGATGGAGCGAGGAAAGATTGGCCGGACATCACCTTCGAGGCGGGGCCTGACGGAATGGGAGTGGCGGTGGAGCAAAAAGGTCTCCAGGAGTGGATGATGGGACTGACGGGAGTGATGGACGTGAGTGATGCCCTTTCCCAGATCCGAATTGGGACTGCCAATTCGGAAGGCCGATCAAACCAGACCCCCCAGTCAACCACCGGCCGTTTCTCGGCGTCAGTCCCATGCTAGTCCGGATCCTGTGGGGGCCTCAATGCAACTACTCGTCATTCGTCTGGGTCTGGGTCTTCGGGCCTTCGGGTTTGGTCTCGAGCTCTTCCAGCCTCCAGCCTCCAGCCCGCGTCTACGTGCGCCGGCCGAAGGCTTGGGTGGATGCCAAGTGCTGACAAGTGCTGACGACACAGCATGAGAAAACAGGGGCAAGGTGGAGGTCAGGCAGAAAAAAACATTGAAGAAAAAGAACACGTGAATCTATACCCATCACTTCACCACCTTCGTTTTCGCACGCTCTCCTTCGCGTTTCTCCGTTTGTCTCCCGCTCTCCTTCTCGATTCGAGCGCCTCGTCACCCTCGTGGCCGCTGGAGAGGCAACCTTTTGGAAGGGTGGCCAAAAGCTCTTCCTGGCCATCTCATGGCCTTTGTACCTAGGCGCCCAGGGGGACTGTGAAGCGCCTGGTGGAAAATAGAGGTGACACCCGTGAGATGGACAGGGTGGAGTTTTGGACAAACAAGCAGTGGTCATCACAGACGCAGTCTTTACAAGGAGTGCAGAGCCAGATCGACCCATCTGTAAGGGTTGCCGGACCCATTCGTCCGGCGACCGCGTCGAACGACGGCGACGCGGCCGGGCCGGTGGCGCAGGTGTGCACACTGGGATGCGCTTCGGTGGCTGGACCTTCGAACAGAACACCCGCCTAGGCCCGGGCGGGTTGTTCCGCAGAAACGGAGGCATGAGATGGAACGATGAAGAAAGACCTGGCAGGTGGGCTCGTGCATGGCGAGATGATGTGAGATGATAGTTTAGAATGATGTGAGATGGTGAGATGATGGTGCATGGTGAGATGATATCTTTTATTTTTGATGTGATTTTTTGCACTTCTTATAGCCTACGGAGATGAAGACATCCTTTTAAACGGTAGTAGGTGCTGTTGAAGGATGAACTGCCGTTCCCACCTGGACCCCACCAAGACACTTATGTTAGGTGGTGCAGTTGCAAAAATAGATAGAACTCCACAAGACCTTCAAGGGCTTTTCTGAAGGGAATGCTAGCAGTTCTCCTCCATTTCTCCGATTCCTGTTGAATCCCGGTTTTTTGTCCGTCTGAGGGATGAATCAGAAAGACCTGAACCTTGCAGCCGCCAAGGAGGGAGGCGGGCGACTCCAGCAGCAATGCCGTGATGGAACCCTCCCACACACACCCTGTGTGTTGCGGTATTTTGTGGCCTTTAATTTATTTCGTGTGTGGTTGAATGTTGTTGGGTTTCAAGTTGTTTTCTTTGGCTCGTGGTGCGAGCTATGTTTTGGAGCTACCTTGCACTATTCAGCATTTTGCGTTTCTCTTCCTGTTCCCTCTTCCTGTTCCCTCTTCCTCTGCCTCTTCCTCTTGCCTTTTATCTTTCGCTTGTGTCTCGAGTTTCTTCTCTTTCTTTTGCTTTTTCTCTTGCTCGTGCTCCTTCTCTTCCTCTTCCTCTTTGTCTCCTTCTTTTCATCTTCCTGTTCCCTCTTCCTCTGCCTCTTCCTCTTGCCTTTTATCTTTCGCTTGTGTCTCGAGTTTCTTCTCTTTCTTTTGCTTTTTCTCTTGCTCGTGCTCCTTCTCTTCCTCTTCCTCTTTGTCTCCTTCTGTTCATCTTCCTGTTCCTCTTCCTCTGCCTCTTCCATCAACCATCAACCTCTTCCTCTTCCTCTCACACCGGCCGGTGCCCGTCTGTCAGGCGTAAGCCTTTAAATATACCATGCAGGCGCCAGCACCTTCCAACAGGTCTCCTCGGCTTTTGAAGACTTAAAGGTTGCAGGTGGTGACCTGTGAAGTAGAATGGCAATGGCAATTGGCGTCATGGTGACGATCGGTGTTTTCTGTGTTTCTGAAGTGGTGATAAATCGGTGTAACTAAAGGCAATGGCCTTCAACCTATAGAAGTGATGGCCTCCAACCCAATAGCCATGGCCTCCAACCTAGAAGCGATGCCAACCCAATCAAACATCATTGGTGTTTTTTTGTGTTGACGTGTGAGACAACCCTAAACCCTGAAAACCGACACGGCGCACCAACCAGAATCGTGTGTTTTTTTTCAGCCAGCGAAATGCTTGTGGCTGGAGCCTTGCAGCCATGGAAGTCAAAGCGCCACCGAAGTCAGCCGGAAAGACCGTCAAACATCTGAGCTAATCCAACGCCCAGCTGTTTGCTGTTTGTTTCCTCCTTGAGTCCAACGCGCAGGTATCATGTATGGCTACAAGGCAGGATGCTTCACAGCATTTTTGAGCGTTTTTGTGGCCTGGTGGATCGCAGTGGTGGATGTCTTTCGTTTGCTCCTTCACATCCATCACATGACTGGCGCATCGCCTTCTTGCGTCGCAGTGGATTAAACTCGCTTGGCCTCCCACCAAGCTGAAAACACTGATTCTAGCTGCTAGACCCTGGAAGAGTTTCATCTTTCTTCTCTGGTGGGTTTCAGAGATGTTGATGTTCAACCTTAGGCTAGTGGCTACACCCACCGGCGGTCTAACAAAGCAATACAACTTTACTTCATTTCTTTTTGAACCCACTGACTCATATTTTGAGTGAGTTGAAACCGCCAACCTGCAGGGTGGTTGGAGGGTTGAACAGACACACTCGCATTTGTAGTTGAAGTAAACCACCTAGCCCTTGGAACTCCCTGAAAGTTCTGGGTGCCTTCTACCTGAACCTGATTGACCCATGTTTGCCCAAACACTGTCTCTTATACAATCAAAAAAGAGCTCCAAAGAGTTCTAGGTTCATTGACATCGTGAATGTAATCTAAACATGCTGAGACTCTACACACTACACGCAAATTTAATCCCATACAATCCCATCACAACTCTACAATACTATACAATACTTACAATACTTTACACATTCCGATAAAAACAACACACACCAAAAAAAACAACACATGCTTCTTTGTTTCGTTCGCTGTCGACCAGGTGCTTGTTTGTTTGAACTCCAAGCCGTTTCCACTTCTTCAGCTGACCTTCCAGCGTCTCCCGTCTCTCCCAGTCCGTCGTCGCAGATCCGGCACCTCCTCGAGACGATTCCCACCTTCGAGACGGCCTTGCGGGAGATCAACGCGACCGGGCTGACGGAGACAAACCGACACGGAGACGACGATTCCCGACGGATTCGCCGGGTTCGACGTGTAGACCCGGGGGGGGGAGGGAGCCGAGTGTCGGAGCCCAGGTGCTATTGCGCGAAGAGTGGTGGATTTTTTGGGTTCCAAAACAGAGAAGAGGATGCAAAGAAGCAAAGAAGGAGCCACGTGCTAGTCTCCAACAGAGCTGGGAACGCCACAAAGCACTTGGAAGCGTTCAGAACGCTCTTGAAATGTGCGTCGAAGCTGGAAGGAACCAGCATTTCTCCAGCGTCGAAGCACAGACAGCTCCAAACAACATCAACATCTCCAATCACCGGGCCCGTCACTTTCGGGCCGACCAAATTTCTTGGATGGAACCTTTGATTGAATGTGAAGAGCTCTCTTCAGAGCTTGGCTTCAGCGTTTGGTGGATGGGAAAATTGCCCTGCATTTTGTTATTCGGATGACCATGAAATCCAAAGACCAAACAGGTGGTGGTTTCCAAGACGCCATGATGATTTCAGGGAGTGTAAGCGGTTGCGAGTTGCTGTCTAAATTTCATGATCCTCACACTCGAGGTCTTTTTGTAAGGGGTGTGGAAAGGCCCTCAAAGATCTTCATCAGATTGATGTACGGCCTTCGGGTTTCAATATGCAGGACGCCTGATATAAACTCGATATATCAATGTCCCGGGTGACATCTAACTCTGCAGTGTGCCCATCTGCGAATGTTTTCTGAGCAGTGGTTCACCCTCAAGACACTGCGCAGACACACCGGATTGGACGAAGCCTGCAGTGACTTCTGCCGCTTGAGCCAAGGCAACACAGTTCATGGCTCCTCAATATTTTATGCTCTCTGGTGCTGGAAACAATGAAGGCACGCACACGAACCCAAACGGACCCACCGACCCATGAAGCGACCGGACCAGGGCTGAGCGAACGGCCACGTGCCGCAACCACCGTCCCGTGCCGCATGGAACCACCGGTGCGTGTTTTGTTCGCGACACTGCTAGAGTTCCTGTACGCACGTACGCAGTGGCCAGCTGTTGTTTGTTGTGCGATTGAAACAACTTGAGGTGTCAATAGGATGTTAGTTCCATTTAGTTTTAAGACAATGTGTTTTAAACTTTAATGAATACATTGGGTTTGTTTGCTTTTGTTCCCGGCGTAGTATATGGTGATCCAGTCAAAATGGGTGCTTTGACAGGTGGCTTTTCACTTCGACGACGGGAGAAAAACCATGAAACACCTCAAACAGCCAAAAAACGGTCGTAGTGGACGCTTTGACCACCACAGACCATGCAGTGCTTCCCTTCCAAGCAACACAGAACCAGAACACGTAAAGAGACAAAATCTAAGAACCACAGTTTCTGGGCTCCCATGGTTGCCCCCATCCGTGGCCTCTGACTCTCGCCTCGATTCGAGCTTCTCGGTCAGGTGCAGTGATCAGCATGGATCGCATGGGAGCACAGAGCCTCATCAATACGCCAGCCATACGACGCCTGGGAGGCCCATGTTTGAGCGTGGCCAGACTTGAGATACTAGATGAATCTATGATAATCTATAGGTCATACATGCACCCATCCATCGGCATCCTTGCTAAGCTGCTATACGCATGATGCTCACACACAACTCGAGAGCATGGGGTTGCTTGTCCGCAATAGCTTTCAGGTTGAATAGCGAGAGTTGTTGGTAAATGCATATCACTATAATAACAATACGTAATAGAGGGATCCACATTGAAATCCATTGAAATCCAATACGGCTTTAGTTGAAAGGGCATCATGGTGACAACTCTTTGGGAGTGTAGACGACAGCTCAGCCGTGCCAGCTGAGCAAGCTCTGTGCAGGTGCGAACTGGTTCCTGCTCCAGACCAATGATGATGCGAACAAATTGCCTTTAGATTTTCGACGACCTGTTGTAAAGTCGTATTTGCATTGGTTCTTCGGTAGCATGATGGCGGCGTTCCGCGGGACAGCGAATTGGGAAGAAAGCTGCTGTCAGACTAATCCTTTTGAAGATGACTTTTCGTACGCAGAGGGACTTTCTTTTTGAGAAGGAAGGTGCAAATCCACCAGCCTCGTCACAGGATCAAAAGGCAACCAGATTTCTATACGCTATGATTGATGCGTAGCATGATACGGATATGTGTTCAGGTCACAGGCGTAGCATTGGAACAGAGACCGGACGCAGATGCTTTTGGTACTCATCTTATAACTTAGTCAATTAATCCAAAGGGCCTTCTCAAGGTAGGGGGTATTTTGAGGTGTATCTTTTTGAGCTCCATCTCTGACCCAACGCTTGCAGAGACACAGATTCATCCCTTCCTGGTCACTGCCCAGGTACACGAAGGAAGATGTCTCGGTGAACTTCGTTTGGGACCGGGGAACAACCGTGCCGTTCGTGTTTCACATACTGCGCCGCACCTGTGCGGATGCCACCGGCGGGTGAAACATGAAGTCCAGCAGATTCGAAGTCCAGCAGATTGAGTGAACAGTGACTAAGACTAATCAAAAGGATTCAAAAGGAATGAATAGCTGTATGCAACTAACACCAAAAAATACCGTCTTCATTGATGTTCTTTAGCTTGGAGGTTTCTAGCTCTTGCTCGCCTTCACCGACCCAAAGCTCGGTCGTCCGCTCCTCCGCTCCTCCGGTGGTCGAGGACGTGATCCACAGCTTTCCGCTGAAGAATGCCTTATCGGTCTTCACTTGGGTCGCTCGGAGCCGTGTTTCAACCACCATCGGTCGTAGCCATCGGATCGGTCTTGCCGCCGCCCGTGGTCGTTCTTTCTCGCCGCCGTTTTCTCGCCGGCTGGGGTGAAGAGGACGAAAGAGTATGATGGGTATAGGATAGGAGATGATAAGGAGATGATAAGGAGATGTTATGCCTATATGAAGAATCCGTGATCCACATGATTTGTTTGACGCAATTCAGGGATGCCAATCTTTGGTGTTTGTGTTGTTTCATGTGATGTCTTCTTCGTCCTCATTTTTCAGGATCGTCTTGTGCCTTTTCATGGTGGATGTTCATAATATAGGAGAGAAGGCCTTAGCGGAAGTGGCAGATTTTGAGGTCAGTCAGCCACTAGAGGGCACTTTGTCCTCAAGCAAAAAGGATCTCCCACTCTGATTCTGAGAATCTCGATGAATCTCCCAAGTATCCTCATTCCTATAGCACTATAGTGGTTTCAGAGTAATTACCTAGAACCTGAGTGACCTCTGTTTTCAACCACCAACCACCCAAAAGATGGTCTTTTTCCTACTGTATCAAAACAGAGGTCAAATTGGTTTCTAGGTAGATGGCACAAACCCCAAGAGGTCTTTTAGATTTTAGATGGGGCTCCAAAATCAACGCCTGGCACCTCAGGGGTAACTGGGTGCCATCTACTCTCAATCCACGAAACATCACAATCACCCCCAGGAGTCACGTTCGTTCGTCGCCAGGGAGCGGTGGATGTGACGTCGGGGCACCCCGACGGCACCCTCGGATCGCACCCCGACTACCTCCACGTGACTGGCCTCTGGTTCTTTGGGATCTCCGATCCTTCCCTCCTTCCAATCCCGATAGGCATGTTTCGCCTCGACATCGACGCCTCGTTCGCCTGGAACCCCACGAGGTCGCAGTGCCCCGAACGAACTATTCGCAGCTGGTGCTGCGTGGCCAGGAGCCGAGACTGGAGGAGGCCCCGATCGACAGCGATCCGCGACCGCCGATGCTCCCCGCGACGGCCCACCGCCTCCGCCGCGCCCAAACCCATCGCGGGGATGTGCCGCGCGGGCCGCGTCTTTCCCGTGCGCGGTCGGGAAACAAGGCAAGGCTTCCGCTCTAGAGAGCGGAAGCTTAGGAGCTACCCGGAAGGTTTCTGAAGAACTTGCTAGCTCACGGCATCTCACGGCTCCGTTCTTTCGTCGCGCTTAAAGCGAGAGAGAGAACCACCTGCACTGCAGGCTTGATTCGCAGGTGTATCTTGATGCGTTTGAACAAACACGTTGCGCCCGGCACCACACAAGACTGTCTCCCAAGACATCATTTTAAACTGCGGCTCCTCAAACACAGGCACTTCCCTTGTCCATACACCATTAAACAATATGAAACAATGACATATGTCATATGTCCTTTGCTGCGAGTAGACAGCATAGCTGTGCAGCAATGCATAGCTTGCACATCAGGTCTTGACACGGTCTGTCGCTGGAGTCGAGAGTTCCGAATTTCTGGCTGGTGCGACGAATGTCTGGGTTCGTTGGAGGAGACATAGACCAGTCTTCAACCAAAGCCAGGGGGGTCTCCCAACTCATTGATTCGTGCACTATTACAGTATGAGTCTTGTGGATCCGAGGAAGAATCCGAGGATCGTCGCTCAACATGGAGGTACTGTAGCTTTTTTGCTGCGTCCCCGAGTCACGACGTATGGTCATGCTTGGAGTTTTTTTTTTCACCATGTTGCAGCCTTTTTTTGTGCCATCTATCGGCCTTTTGGTTTTGTAAAGAGAGACACTGAAACCGAATCTGGTGCACAATGCAGGTGCGACGTTCGAAGAACCGAATGTGGAATCCGGTTGATTCCAAAGGTTTTTTCATGTTTTGTTTCACCATCTGGGCGAGAGATCTTTGTCCATGTATTACGCCTCGGGGCTTTCCTCCGAGCGTCCAAAAACGGCGGTCCAGGTGGCACTTCTCGTGGAGCCCCATACGGACGAGGCATCCGGCTGGTCCAGTCAAAACAGAGTCCCACGGAAGAGAATGGCATGAAGAAAGCCAAGAAAAGCTTCAAACTTACATTGAAATGGCATGCATGACCGACATGTCCATAAAACCTCCCTCCATAAACCTGAGTGTTTCCTCTCTCTTTTTGCTGAGCTACCACAGTGGCCTGCAGTGTGCGTCACGTCGCAGTGGCCACACACAGAGATCATGCGAGGTGCACCTTCTGCAACGGTTCCTGAAGCGTCATGGGACCAAGGGATGGAAACACGCCATGTGCTCAGTGCCGATGTGCCTCCGATTTCAAGTCGTTTTTTGGCTTATTCTGACGCATTGAGTGTGTTGTACCTGCAATTTCTGGTGCATTGCGCAGCAGTCAGGTGATTTCCAACGAGGGCCTGCGACTGGAACCCTGAAATTTCTTGGCGGCACTGCGCTACGCTGGCGCAGTGCCATGTGAAACAAGTGCCTGACAAAGTAGTGTCATGTTTTCTCGTGTCCCATCAGGCAAGAAATGAGGCGCAGCTCTTCAAGATTAGACGAGCTCTGTGGAAGAGCTTGTGTGAGTGTATGTGATTCCCACAGCCCACGTGTGTTAGAGCCAATGCAGCCTGCAGTAGAGGCAGCTGTGTGTCCGAGGAGCTATGGCAGAGAGCCGTGAGAAAAAATCTGCGCTGCGAATCGCGCCGACGTGGATTTCTACAGAGGTAGCCAGTGACCTGAACTAGGACCCGTAACCAGGGCTACCCAACTAGGATAGTCTATATAGGGTTTATTCAACCTCTGCTGGTTGAAAAGGTTTGACAAGACTTCTCTCCTATGATGATGTGGATGAAGAAGGAGCACGCACGTTTGTGCTTTCAAGCAGATTTGTGCTGGGAAACCCAAAGCAGGAGGCGCTAGGATGCATAAGATTTCTGGTGTGGGTGCAAGGCTTTTCAAGTTTGCAAGCCTTTCAGCTGCGGTGTGCATCAAATTGAGTCGAACACTGCGTATAGTTTAGTCCAACAAGTCTTGTTATTCTAAAAGGTTTCTAAGAGGACCACTTCACGCACCGTTGGACCACTTATTAAGCTGCTTGGTCTTTCCGTTACATCATCTTCCCTAACACTTGCCCCATCGATCCCCATCATCGCAACGTGGCGAACACTTCGAGGCATCGATGCCCTTGGACGTGGAGTACTACGTGGAACACCAGCTCCTCACCCGTCCGCATCAGTGACGGAGCGGACCAGACACCCCAGAAAAAGACCCCAGGGACCAGGGAGGTGCTTTTGGGATCCTTTTTTGTATCTAAAGTGGGTTGCATGGAGGATGACCTGAGAGTTTCATACTGAATGTGTCTGATTTGCCTTCAGGCCGAGGTCACAAATCTGAAATATAGCTATATATGACCTTCATATGACTCGATGGTGTGGACGGATCGCGGGATCTGACAGGGTCTCAAAGACACCGCAACCAAATCCCGGTCAAGCAGATCTTGCAGTGGAAGGTTTCTTCGACCCTCCAAGAGTTTTGTACTGCAACTGCCCTCGTTCGACCCAGCTGATGAACAAGCACCCGATTTTTCGAGGTCCGCTAGGTCGATTCTGGCAAAGAAAACGAGGAAGCGAACGCACGTGCACGGACGTCGCGCTTTCACGGACGTCGTGCCATTTCAGGTTGAAGCAACCATTGCAGGGTGCCCAGGAGTGCGCAGGCATCACAGATTCAGATCGTATTCTAGAATATTTCTCATCACGAAAGCTAGCTGTAGCTAGCTGGAGTCTGTCTTGCTTTAGCAAGGAGGGGTGGGAAGCCAGGACCTGAGTCACAAGTATGCCACATACCCACGAATGCCTGCCTTCCATGTAGCACCAATGCGAGCTTCTGCTCCTGTGTGTATCACACTTAAGGTATTTGAACACATTAAAAAAAATGCACACAATACCCTGGCGCCACACCAAACTCCTCTGGATGTTCTGACTTTCTTTGTACCAAACTCCTCTCCAAGGCTTCGTGTCTTTGAGCCAGTGCTGGGTCTTTCGCCCAAGAAAACGGAGCCGCCGCTGTGGCACAAGCGCGCGACGTTGATTGAAACGATCAGCGCGGCGTTGGTTTAAAGGAGGCATGCTAGAAGGGAGCACCCCACTGGGGCGAAGTTCTCCGAAATTGAGTGTTGGGAAGGCCCGTGAAGGGCCCTGTTGGAGGTCTCAATTGATTGAACTTGACGGCTATAATGTAGGCATACGGCATTTATATACACACCGTACATGGAATGTTTGCACATCTTCCGTGTTTTGAATCGTGTTGAATCTATTTGAATATGAAAGTGTCACAGTGTGCTATCCATGTCGTTCTGGAAGAGCCCGTCTGTAGTCTCATAAGCGCATACATGTTTTGAGAAGACCGACATGACCGACTCATCCCATTTCACCTGCCGTTTCATCCGTTTTCCACCACAAACCGCTTGTGTTCGAACACGTCGACGTTCCACGCTAATCGCGTTGTCCACGCCTCTCCTCGCTTCGCGTCCACTCGCAGGAGGAAGAGCTCTTCGGTTTCGGTGCGACACCGAAACCGCGTCGTCGTCGTCGGACGCGGAGGGGTTTTTTTCGGGGCTCTCGGAGTGGTCGCGGAACGTGGAAGCGGCGCGTAGAAGAAGCGAACGTGGATCCTCTGAACATCGGATGCTGAGCAAACTGGAGCAGACTGAGGAACCATGTTTTTTTTTGCAGGCAATATAGTCTCCACTTCAGTCGATAGTCTCGTGTAGTCTCGTGTATCTTGCGAGATGTGCGACAATGTATTGTTTGGGGAAATGGACCGTCGAGCACTACAAGGACATGTAGACAGCATCATGAACAAACAAGAAAGGTTGGCCAAGTCAGCGGGGCCAGGTGGCAGTCCCTCTAGCTCGCGGGGAACTCAGACATTGAAGCCGGGCTCCGTTTCAACAGCCTCGACCTGGTAAAGAAAGAGGGTCTTCCAAAATCGGGAATCTTCTATGGGCCACTCAAGTTTCAGTGACTCTGCACGGCCGGATGTGGCAAGTTCTTGAGGATGGAAGCTCTGCCCCAGAACCACTGAAGTGAAAGGTTGAACAGCTCTTTTTCGCCCACCCAGTACCTACCACTACAGGGTCCTAGTTCAGGTCTCCCAACCTCTCTTGGCACTTCACGAAAGACATTCAGACGACTGCTGAGGCAAAAGGTGGTTTCAAAGGCACCAGCAGGAGGAGGAGGAGGTGCAAGTTTCTCCCCCCCTTGCGCCCTTTGCTTCGTGTGTGTGGAAAATGCCGGAATTCCGGAATTCCTATATACACATTATATTGTACATCCAGTTGAAGATCCGTCAAGGCAGCCAGCTGTGTCGAAAAAACACCCCATGTCTCCAATTGTTCGATTATCTAAGCTGTAAAGTGTAAACTATATCAATCGAAGTGGACAATGACCTGTTAGTGGACACTCTGCCTTTCAGGGGGCATGTTACACTTCCATGTTTGTTGGATAGGCCTCGGTTACTCACTTAATAAGTATTATTTTACATGTTCTAAGTTGAAAAAATAAGAGCCTGGAGTCGTAGGGTCTCCATGGCGTTCTTCCAACCCAACCACCTCGTCACGTCCGGGGACAGACGTCCAGTCCCGTTTCCACGGGGCATCCGTCTCCGGACCTGTCCGGGCGCGGCCGGGGACGTGGAGCGGCAGGAATTGGAAAGTTCCTGAAGACGAAGAAAAGGTGTTTGGCACCAGGCGCCGGTGCGCGCCGGCGGGTGCTTTGAGACGGGATTGGACACTGTGAAGAAGATGACGGACTTGGACACCATCAAGTTCTTATTGACGACGGTCTGCAGTTGAAAGTCCAATTATACCAGGTTCAAGGTGCCGGTGGAGTTTTATTCCTTCCATCTTGAGTAGGCCGCGAATCTGCCGCCTGCAAATTGATGGTTGAAAAGCCAAGCCAAACGAAGAACTGTTTGCGCATCACGTGTCTCCGTTCTTTTGCAAGAGGGCTTATTAGGCAGTTACTTGACGCTACGTAGGGCTTCAAGCAGAGTTTGAGCCAGGTACAGTAGAGCGGAGGGATGAGGATGAGTGTCCAGCATTCATGATAGTCCCAGTAATTTTCCTGCCATCATGACCAATGACCAGCGGGAGGATGCAGGAACTTTGAGCAAGAGCCGGGCAGCCCAGGAAGTTCGATGTGTCACGATCTCCGCATTCAGTGGAGACCCTCGTGCGCGGGGTCCATGCCGGCCAATGCGACTCCAGTGCAGATGTTTGTGTTCTTTTTCATGATATATATATATAGATCTATTAATTATACACATAATTTATAACATATAATTACCCTAGAAGTCCAAAGACTATATGCTGCCCCACTGAAGTAAAGCATATTCCTTGACTCGGGTCACCGAGTAAGAACATTCTTTTGATAGAATAGTCTTTGACTCCCAGGGTATATAACTACTATATAACCCATGATACACCATGAATTGAGGAGTTGTTGCACTTCTTTCTCCCATACTGCAAAGAGAGTTCCCTGTGGAATGCAGGCTTTCGACCGCCCGGTTACGCCCTGAAAGGTTAGTGAGAGGTTTTTTCACAGCCCATCCCATATGTACCACTACAGGGTCCAAACGTTCAGGTCTCTCAACCTCTCTTGGTACAGAGCTCGGGGTGGTTTGCAAGGAAACCATCCACAAAACGTGGATGTGACAGGGGCACCCCGACTTCCTCCGTTCGTACGGCACCCCGTCTTGTGACTCCTGGACTGCCTTTCATTTTGCTCAACATGCTTTTAGTTTTTCGTGAGTGGCTTCATACTCTCCTATCCGCCCGAATGAATGGAACAGACTCCCTTCATTTGATATGAATGATCGGACGTATAGCCTGTTACTTGGTAGCTCCCCAGACGCTCCAAACAGCCCTTGGGTCCAAAACCATAGGGTTTTGAGGGTCCAGACCCCTCCATATGAGGGTCCGACCCTGCATATGAGGGTCCAGGAGCGTCTGGGATCAAACCACACACACAGCCATTCTTGCAGGTCACACGAACCCTCAATCCTCTTCCGGCAAGATCGCAGCATCGGCTCAAATCCACTACTACCCGCGAAAGGATCCAGCGGTTCAGAAGATGTTCCGCTGGGCACCTGAAGGGCATGTGATTTGCAGCCTCCAGCCATTTCCAGATGAAGGAAGGTGTGTCCTCTCGGTGCAAAAGACCTTTTTGCACTTGTCTCCCTCATCTCCCGAGTCCGAGTCCAGTCTTCCTCGCACCCGTGCCTCTTCGGCTCCGGCAACTCGACCTCTTCGCCGCACGACGAGCACATGGCCCACGGCCTTGACCGAGTTTGAGGCGTCGCGTGGCCACGGCCCTGAAGGGCGCGAGGAACCATGCGAGCTCATTCTAGAAGAGCTGATTCCAAGTCAGATTCAGCCGGAGAAGACGAGGGGTGACTTCGTTGCGCATGAAGCAGGACGATGTGACCCGTGCAAGTTCTACTTTGGAGTGCCTTGACTTCGTTTTCCAACAAGTGTATTTTGCAGACCACTTGGTGCCTTTCAAGGGAGGGCCCCCAAAGTGTTTAGTCATGCGGCAGCTTTACCATCCACGCATCCAGGGGTCCTTTGTTATCCTTTAGTTTTGTGCCGAGGGGTCTATATGGTTCAGTTCTGTTGTT